CTCCACGTCAAGGCTCTTAGGGTACCAGAGACTGGGACGAGCAGCTCATCCCCAGCGCTCTCCTACTTCTTGTCAGGACACCTGTGCTGGGTGTTGGTCTGATCACCTCCCACCTCCCCCTCCCACACCTCTTACCCGGCCTCCCATCTCCACCCTGCTGGCTCCGACTTCCCTGAAACCTCGCCCCTGACCCACAGGTTGGGCATGGAGGAGCGTCCCTACTCCAGCCGACTGAAGAAGATCGGCGCTCTTCTAGAGCAGGACTCTGTCACCAGAGAGGAGGTGGTGTCTGAGCTAGGTGGGTAGACCGTCACACCCATCATCCTCGGCTAGCCCTGGGCTTAGGGACAGATGGGAGCCGGGAGGCCCACCTGCTGTCCCATTTCTTGCCCGAGGCTGTGGAGACAGCAGAGCCCGCGCTGTGCCATCCTTGGCAGGGCTGGGAACACATGCCTCGTTGCTGGGGTTAACTCTGGGGCTGCCGCGCCACCAGCCTGGCCGCTGAGCACCCCCGGAGTGCCAGGTGGCCCTTAGTTTTTACAGTTGATGTTGATAAGCGGTACTTGTTTAGAGAGCAGCTGTACTGTGTTCTGGGCCCCACATGGAACACTCTCCCTGTGGCCCATTTCACCCCCACACCAGCCCAGAGAGTTGCTGCCTTTATTCCCTCTCTGCCCGAGGAGTCAGATCCCAGAAACCAGAATCTCAGCCATGAGGGAACTTGCGTGGTTCCCATGCTAGCAGGAGGGAGAGCCAGGATTTGAACCTGGGTAGTCTAAGTCTAGAGCCTGTGGTCTGAATCATAGCCCAGCTTGAAGCTGAGAGTATTGACTTAGGGTGAGTGGTGGAAAGATGGCTGGGGACATAGAGGGTGGAGGAATGTGGGGTCCCCATGTGCTGGCTTCCCTGCAGGCAATGGCATTGCTGCTTTTGAATCTGTGCCCACTGCCATCTACTGCTTCCTGCGCTGCATGGAGCCTGACCCCGAGATCCCCTCTGCCTTCAACAGCCTCCAAAGGACTCTTATCTATTCCATCTCGCTCGGGGGGGACACAGACACCATTGCTACCATGGCTGGGGCCATTGCTGGGGCCTACTATGGGATGGAACAGGTGCCAGAGAGCTGGCAGCAAAGTTGTGAGGGCTATGAGGAGACAGATGTCCTGGCCCAGAGCCTGCACCGTCTCTTCCAGAAGAGTCCATGAGGGCCTCAGCTGCCGGGACTCCGCCGTGTCCAGCCGGCCCAGCTGCAGCTCAGACTGGAGATGCTGCGGTTCCTTGGGCACGGTCCGTGCCTCCGTCATCCTGCAGTGGGGCGGAGCACACGGCTGGGCCGGGGTCCTGGGGGAGGTGATCAGACAGCGAGTGGAGGACTGGTACCTCCCTGGTGCTGGGTTCCGGGCTCGCTGCCGAGCCTGGGGCCTTCCCGGCTCCCTGGGCAGAGGGGAGGGATTAGGACAGGTTTTATTTTGGAAGGGTACCCGTGGCATTTTCCTGTCTTACCCAAGACGTGGGATTCCGGGGGGTGGGGCGGGGGCAGAAATGATCGGCAGCGGTGCTGCTACTTCTTGTTGAGATGTGGCCAGTCTGCCAGAAAGCACGGCTCTGGCTGGGTGGAGCCCTGGGCAATAGTATGTTCACGTGGGTCGGGGAAACCAGCCCTGGCGTCCAGCTGATCTAGATGCACACCTGGCCCTTGGCTGTCAATGGGGCGTGTCAGCAGCTTCTGGTGGGAGTCACAGCAATAAAACAGTTTTTGGTAAATCCTGCCACTGGTGCCCATGTTTCTCCTTGGCCCTGAATGAATTTCCTCCCCCCCTGTACCCCCGTGACCTTTTCAGGCCACGTACCTCTTCATCTGTTCTACTGGGAGCCAGTAAGTGAAGGGTGTGGGGTTTTGGGGCAGATCCCTCCAGTTCTTCCAAATGGCTGTGCTGTTCAGCCAGGAAGGGCAGAGTGGGCATGTTTTAGTGCTTTTTCCTGTTGGAGATCATTCAGAGTGACCCAGGCAGTGGGCAGAACAAGCCAGATGTCCCTGTTCTCGGGGGCTGACTTCTTTATAGGCTGTTCCCCAAATAGGACCCACGTCCAGCTGGCCAAAGAGCAGGACCCCAGTAGGAGGGGGCAAAGGGCACCCCCTCCTACCAGACTGCCAACCCTCAGGTGAGGAGGGTGCATCGAGTTGGTGTCCTAGGTGGACTGAAGGATGTGGGCCTGTCTTTATCTTGAGCCCCAGTCAGAGGCCTTGGCTTGAAAGGAAGTTTTACACACCATTTGTTTTGAAGAAAAGAAAATCGAAAGGGAGAAGACCCCTCCGCTCCAACTAGGGATGTTCTCCAGTTACCATTTCAGGCTCAGTGGAGAGAGAAGCATGCGAAGTCCGAGGACTGATGGGCAGGTCTGCTTTCAGCTGAGATGGTGTCCTGCCAGGCTGGGGCAAACCACGGGGCTTTTCAGAGCTTGGATTGTTTCAAGTTTGCTGCCCCCATTCCTTGAGCCAGGGACAGATCTTTATTGCTGAGCAGAGCAGGCTGTGGGCAGGTGATTTCTGCCATGGACAGCCCCCCCACCCCGAGTCTGGCCTTCAGCAGTGGGCCTGGCACTGGCCCCCACCCTCAAGATCAAAGATTCATGATTTCATTCATAATTTCTATCAAATGTTGAAACTTGGTCCCTGGGACCCTGAGCCAGCTGTCATGCTCCACTACCCCGAGAGCTCGCAGGAATGTTCCAGGGAAGCTCGGAGCATCTCCCCCAGCTCCAATAACTGGCTTGCTTTGATTGCTTAAAATGCCTCTTGGCATTTCCGTGGTGCAGAGGCTGGGCAGCCTAGGATCACGGAGCATTTTCTGACATGGCGACAGTAGCCCGGCTGGGGGGCCTGGGGAGCAACACATGCTCCTTGAGAGAAGGCACAGAGCAAGAGCCCCAGAGGCTTGAGACCCCCTGCACCGCTCCAGGTCCGCACGGCGCTGTTCGTACAACAGGCTTTACTGGGGTTGTGTCAGTGCAGTCAACACTGCTGTTGCTCTTTTCCAAAAGAAGCCCCACCCCCTTTTTTGATTCCCAAGTGCATTTTTCCCAAATCTCTGACCCAGGGCACATAATAGGTATGTAGAGGACTAAGCTTCCTATACCAGGTTAGAAATGAAATTACTAATGAAAACATTCAAACCTTAATCTTAAAAAAACAACAACCACCTAGGAATCAGAATATAAAAATGCACCAAAGTACCATAGTTTTCATAGTTAAAACTTGGCATCGTTTATCAAAGCTAGTCAAGTGGACACCTGGAACTAAAATCCCATAGACATTTTGGAAACACCAGCCACCCCTCCCCCAAAGGCTTCTGGAATGACATTTAGCAGGAGCTAAGTTCTGTGAAACAGCTCTTTTTCTGGCTCCCCCAGTGACCTCCTTAGTCCCCTGGGCTCCCCCTCAGAGGTAATGAATTTCCACCCATTGGAACCCCTCCCTAGCCGTTCAAATGGTGGCGGCTTTGGCCCAGGAAGGAGGCTGAGCAAAGGACCCCACCAGGTTGGTGTGACTCCTTAGTTCTCTTGGGTATCCGGGATCAAGCAATCCACTGTGAGGCCCAGCCAAAAGCTGTTCAGGTGTCCCTCGCACAGCTTTGGGTTTCACTTTTGAAAGACAAAGCGAACAGTCAAGGGGCCTGCTTTGTTGGGAGAAGTGGGTTGGGAGGAGGCCGGCCCAGGGGCCCAGAGCTCAGCAAGCCAAAATTCAGCCAACACCGTGTCCAACATGGACAGTCTGGTGCCGGCCAGAATCGGAGCAGTGGAAGACCACACTGCGTGACCCCAGTTCACACTTGGTACAGAGAAGTGGGTTGGCTTGGGGCAGGCTGAGGGAGAGGCCCCGAGCCCCACCCCCCGCCCCCAGAAAGTGGCCATCTTTGCCCCAGCATTAATCTCAGCTTTATCCACTGAGCTTGAACTAGGAGATAGGAGAGGGATCCTGCCCGTTTCCTGCAGGGGGTGCTCTGCTTGGGGAAAACAGCAGAAACATCCAGAGTCAACTCATTCCAAAGGGGACAGTTGGCACCCTTTTCCTCAGAGTCTCAGCCTTCTGGGCCCTAATCCTGCTTAGAACAGGAAATTGGAACCAGAGGGGAGAAGGAGAGGAAGCCCCCTCAGATTAACCCCTCTAGTAGATACACATACCCACCATATGGTTCTTGTTAAGGAGAAGCAGGGGGGAGCCTTCTTCATCCCGGAGCTTGTGTGTACCTTGTTCTGAGGGCCGAAAAAGAGGCTCTCTGCCTTGGGGACACTTGGGTTGGGGCGGGGGCAGGAATCCTTACAACTTTGTATGAAGAAATCAGCCCTCCCCCAGCAGGTGAAAGGAGAGGGAGGGTACTTGAGTTCGCTGCTGATCGGTCCTGCCCCATTCCTGCTTCGGCAGTCAGTCCCCAAGGGCTTGCGCGACTGCCCTTCTGCTGAGCAGAGCCAGTCGGTGGGAGCAGCCTGGGAGATGGAGGCGGACGTGAAGGGCTGCCATCGGGCCCCAGGTCCATGCTCCTCCCGTCACAAACCACCGCTCCTGTGGCTGCAGCTGGAGCAGAAACGGGGTTGGCCCTTTCCAGGACCCTGCAGAGAAGGGGCCGAGCTCCTGCACCTGCCATGGACAGGCCTGTTGCCACAGCATCACGCTGGGGGTGCAGTCCTGGCAAGGTGTCCACTCTAGCCACCTCAATGCCCCCCACCCTTTGCTTTCCCCCGGAAGCAAAAACTCTTCATGGGACCCACCATCCGCTGCTGGAAGTCCCAGGGGAGCTGGAAGAGCCCCAGCCGAGATCCGAGGTGCCGTCTGGGGGCCAGCAGGAAGGGCAGGGCTTGGGCCTGTGTCTCCCTGGGGGAACGGAATGGGGAACTCAGTCCCCTCAACCCTCTGACCCAGAGAAGCAGCATCCTTCCCCACCCAGCAGAGCTCAGAACTCCTGAGAAGGCAGGGGGCTCCTACAGTGGGGCTGAGTGTCCTGGGGGGCCTGCCTACAGCGGGGGCACAACCGCCACACTGCACAGACACTTGGGGGTGAGGAACTCAGGCCAGCCTCTTCCAGAAAACACCTCAGCCTGCGTGGAGGGAGAAACCAAACCAGTCTCCTCGGGCCAAGGCCACGGCCGCCTCTGCTTCCGCATCTGTTCAGCTTTTGGTTTTTTCTTTAAATGGAGGTTCTTGTAACTGAGAAGGTCTCTCTACCACTAAAGAGGAGGAGGCCAAGGAGTCAAGGCCCCCGTGGTGTTATGTGGGGCAGAGCAAGAACCCTGAAAAGGAGGAGTGGATATACTCAGTGGAGTAGAGGCCGTTGGCCTGGTCCGACGGCATCTGCACCCAGACCTGGTCGTTGGGCCGCAGCTGGAGCACAGCCCCGCCAGATGCCTGGTCCAGGTAGCCCTTCTTGTACTCGTCGTAGGTGTATGTGGCTGGCACGTTGTTCTTGTACAGGGCCACCCACACGTTGGTGCCCTTGACGTGCACATGGTAAGCAAAGTAGTAGACCCCGCCCACAGGGCAGGTGAAGATGCCGGTGGCTGGGTTGTAGCCACTGTGGCCGTTGTAGAGAGTCCGGTCAAACTTGACAGGCATGCCCGAGGCAGGGAAGGGTGAGGTGAGTACAGCGGTGAAGGCGGGCGTGGCGTGGGCTGACAGCTCTCCCAGTCCAAACTGTGGCTTGTTCCCCTTGCCCAGCACAGCACCCTCCACGCCTCCGTTGGGCAGGTGCAGTCCGGCGATGCCAGTCTCATCAAAGGCCCCCGGGGCGCCAGGGGGACCGGGAGGCCCAGGAGGCCCGGGAGGGCCAGTGAGTCCTGGGGAACCAGGGACCCCAGGGGGCCCTGTAGGCCCAGTCACTCCCGGTTCCCCCACTTTCCCCTCGCCTGGGGGCCCTGGCAAGCCGGGTTCACCCTTCAGGCCTGGCAGTCCCTGGGGCCCGATAGGACCAGCTGGGCCCTGGAGCCCTGGGATTCCTGAGGGGCCCCTCAGGCCTGGCTGCCCAGGGAGCCCCAAGTCACCCTTCTGTCCCAGGGCTCCTGCCACCCCTGGTCCCCCAGGACGGCCAGTGAAACCTGGCTCACCTTTGGGCCCAGATGGTCCAGGGGGCCCATGGGCCCCAGGAAGTCCCCTCTCTCCTGGGGGCCCAGGTTTCCCAGCCAGGCCATTAGGTCCCTGGTCACCTCGAATCCCAGGCACTCCTGGGGGTCCTCCAGGCCCTGTATCCCCTTTGGGCCCAGGGGGCCCACGTCTGCCAGGGAGTCCTGCAGATCCTGGAAGTCCTGGGGGCCCCCCAAGGCCCTGTGGGCCTTGCTCCCCTGGCTCCCCATCCTCACCTGGCTCACCTCTGTCCCCCAAGTGGCCTGGGACCCCAGCTGGGCCCCTGTCCCCCTTGGGGCCTGGCAGTCCTGGCACCCCATAGCCAGTGGGGCCTATCAGACCAGGGGGCCCCCGGATTCCTGGCTCCCCTTTGGCCCCTGCTGGGCCCTGTGGCCCTGGCAGCCCTGCTGCCCCTGGGACCCCCACACCATCCACCCCGGGAGGTCCTTTTGGGCCCAGAGCCCCTGGCTCCCCCCTGGGTCCCGGTACTCCTGGAGGCCCCGACTCACCCTTATCTCCAGGGGCCCCAGGAAGCCCATCCAAACCTGGTTTGCCCAAGCCAGCTGGACCAGGGAGGCCAGGGGGTCCAGGGGCACCCCCCTGCCCTGGGGCCCCAGGTAGCCCTGGCTGACCCACTCCATTATCCCCCTTGAGACCTCGATCACCTGGGGGCCCTGGCTCCCCCTGGGGCCCTCGCTCCCCTCCGAATCCTGGGGGCCCTGGCACCCCTTGGGGGCCTGGCTTCCCAGGGACAGAAATGCCTGAGGGCCCAGGGAGGCCAGGAGGTCCTGGGGGCCCCCGAAGACCCTGGTCCCCTCGTATCCCTGGCTCGCCCTGAAGCCCTGGCTGTCCTGGTGGCCCAGCCTTGCCTGGGAGCCCTGGGGGACCAGCCTTGCCCATCCGGGAGAAGCCAGGGGGGCCGGCGGGGCCAGGCTGCCCATGGAGTCCTGGCTTTCCGGTGCCTGGTTTTCCTGGGAAGCCAGGAGGGCCAGGGGGCCCCCGAGGCCCGGGCTTCCCAGGTGGCCCAGGCTCGCCTTTCAGGTCCATTGGCAGCAGCGGTAGAGGCATTTCTGAGGGGGAGAGAGAGAGAGAGAAGGGCCATCAGGGGCCCCGCCCGTAGAGACGTGGGTCGCATCTACCCACGCCCCCATGGGGCAACACTACATCTCCTCATAAAGGCCACACTCCATCTCCCCCTACGAGCACTCATGGAAGATGGGGTTTAGGAGTTTAGGTCCGACGGCCCTCTTGGGGGCTCCTAGCACCCGACATACCCAGGCGGGGCCTTCCCCAAGAGCTTGGAGGGATTCCCATCCCTGCCCGACCTGGGGGTGGAATGGCCGCCAGGTGGCGCAAGCAGCCCTCCTTGGAGCCCGCCCCACTGCCCCCCACCCCGCCGGCTTCCGTCCCGCCCCCTCCCCACCCACGCCGAAGACCACCCTTGCCAGCGGGGCGCTCCCCACTTCCGGCCGCTCCGAGGTCAGAGGCTCCGGACCAGCGTCAGGAGGAAAAGGGAAGGGGGTGTAGATCTCAGGTGGGGATGGAGAGGCTGTGACTGGGGGCCAGGGAGGGGCTGGTGGGGGGTCAGGAGGCAGGGAGGTGTGGGGTCAGGAGCTGTCCGAGGCCCTGCGGGGCGGGGAGGCGCTCACCCAGGTACTGGCCCTTGCCCTCGCGGAAGGGCGGCCCCACAGGTCCTTTGTGCATGGGCTGCACGTACTTCACCGGCGCGTAGCCCGCGGCCCCGCCGGCCCCGCCTCCGGTGGCTGCCCTCGGCCCGCACCCCAGCAGCAGCAGCAGCAGCGAAGACAGGGGCGGCAGAGCCCCCCGCATGGCGTCCGCGGGCGTGCTGCAGGGAGGAACCGAGAGGAGCCGTCAAACCAGCCCCCGCGTGGCTTCGCACCAGGCCCAGGGACTCCCCAAAAGATCCGAATGGAGGTGCTGTACACGAGCAACGCCCGCCGTGTCCGAGTCCGCGGGAGTCACCCTGAAGCTCCCGCAAGCCCACCCGGAGCTCTCCATCCACATGCACGTCCCCCGGGACCCTCTTCCCTGGACGACAGCCGCCCCCGTGCCAGCGGCTTGGCAGCCAGACCCCCCTGCAGAGCATGCATCTGACCCTGGCGCACCCCTGCTGAGACCCTTGGATGACAAGACCCACTACCATGTGCTGGGCCTGCTTTCTGCGGGTGGCGGGCTGAGTTCGCCAGAGACAGGAACTCCCTTAAAGCTCTCAGGCCTTAAACAAGTTATTATTTCTGTCATCCCCATTTTCCAGATGACAAAACTAAACCAAAGGGCAGCAGAACTGGGGCCTCCCTGAGGTCTGCCTGACTTCACATTACATTGATGAGTCCTCCTCGGGCTCCCCTCTGCCTTCAAGATCAAGGCTGTGGTGCCTAGTAGGGACTCAAGGGTAAAGACTAAAATCTAGTCTGTGCCTGTCTCCAACCCTATCACCCACCACCCCCTTCTCTGCCTCTCCACTCCGCATATCTTTGCCCCCGACACCAGGCAGCCTGACACTTCTGGGCTTTTGCCCCTGCTGTTTCTCTACCCTCGATGATCTTTCAATTTCCTACTCATCCTTCAGGGCGCTGGGACCTGTCACCTTCTCCTCTCGAAAGCTGACCCCTCACCCCTTTTTGTCCCTGCCTAGCCCTGTCACAGCCTGGAGCTCAGCACCGAGAACAAGGCCTGGGTGGGGAAGACTAGAGGTGGACACGCAGCCTGAGCCTTCCACTCTGGGAACCTGTTTCCTCAGGGGATACGATGTCCTCAAAACACAGATGCGCATCCTCGGCTGAACGGACAGACCGCGGCCGAGCTGCCCCGTGGGACAGGATTCAGCCACGCAAAGCAGTGACGGGCCGCTTTGTGCTGGGACCCAGGGAAATCTTGAAACCATCATGCTGAGTGAAGCAGCCGGTTACAATCATATCATACATGATTCCATTTCTGCGCTGTGTCCCGAAGAAGTAAATGTAAAGAGACAGAAAGTGGACTAGTGGCTGCCTAGGCTGGTGGGGAGGGGAGAAGCAAACGCTCACAAAGCGGGCAGGGTTTCCTTCCGAGGTGATGAAAATGTTCGCAAGTTGACTGTGACAACAGCTGCCAACATCTTAAAATACATTTTAAAAAATTATTGAATCGGACACTCTAAATGGGCCAAGTGTATGATATGTGAATTGTATCTCAACGAAGATGTCATTTATTTCTTTGAGAGAGAGCGAGAGAAAGAGAGAGAGAGAGCGAGCACGAGCAGCGTGGAGGGGCGGAGGGAGAGGGAGAAGCAGACTCCCTGCCAAGCAGGCCTTCATCCCAGGACCCTGGGACCACGACCGGAGTCGAAGGCAGACCTTAACCAACTGAGCTGCCCAACTTAACCAAATGAGCTGTCCTTTTTGAAAAGCTGTACTAACATCCTGCTTCTTGGGGCGGCCTCGGCGGTTGGAGACACTACCAGGTGCCCCTCCGTATTGGAAGGAGAGACTCCGGAGCACTTGGAACATCCAAGGAAAGTCCCACGGCCCCTGCCTCCCTGCTCCGGCTCCCCCCCCCCCCCGGGGGGCTCTCCACTCCGGCGCCCGACTGCAGGAGGGTCTGCGAGTGGGTTGTGTACCCCTGTACCCGGGGATGCATGTGGGGAGCAAGGCCTTCCCCGGGCCTGCGCTAGGTCCTGAGGTGCGGTTAACGTTCCTCCCAGCTCAGTATCACACTGAGCTCCGAAGGAATGAATGCAGGGCTCCAGAGAAGGCCAGTGAAGCCGCCAGCCCAGCTCTGCCATCAACCTGTCTTGTGACCTTCGGCAGGCAAATGTCCCTCAAGCTCCCCTGGAGCCCCCAAAACAGGAACGTCCGCCACCTGCGGGGGTCTCCAGCCCAGGGCTCTGCGGGCTCTACCTCACCGAGTCCTCCCACTTGCCCGAGGCTCACACTGTTCTTACCCCCATTTTGTAGATGTGGAAAGGGCAGCTCAAGCAGCGCGAACCTTGCCTGGGACACCGCCCTCGCAGGCACCCTGTTCCGTCTGCGCCGTGACTGACACCAGGACTAAGAGGCTGCAGCCTATGGGCTCGGTCCTCGGGGAGGTCTGGCTGATGGAGGCTCTGGCCGGGCACTGCCCTAACCTTGCAGCCCCAAGAGGCTTGCCTCTTCTGCTCTCCACGTGAGGAAACACACGGTCCGAGCCCCTAACCACACCACATGGTCCCACCTCTCTGGAGAAGGATGAGGGTCTTCCTGTACTGGCCATCTGCGCTGGGCAGGATTGGGGACGGAGGACTGGAGTGGGGGTGCTCACCTGTACACACAGCCAGAATGTTCTGCCTGGCGGGTGGGCAGGGAGGGTGGGGGAGCAGGCAGAGGGGGCGGAGCTTGCAGCAGAAAACGGAGAGGTGAGAGGGCAGTTCTGGCCTGGGTAAGCCACGGGCCAAGGTCATGGCACTGCCACCCGTGGGCTCAGGACAGCCCTGGCTCTGGGAGCCCTGACCCTCTTCCCATACGGAGCTGAGGCCAGTGAGGGGCGAGAAAGGGCAGATCAGGCTCAGCTGGAAGGGGGCTTAAGGCAGAGGACTGTGGGGGAGCACAGGCAGGCAGGACACCAAGGCAAGAGCCCCAAGTCCAGCCAGGAGCCCAGGCAAGCCCCCCGCCCCTAGCAGGCTCCCTACCTTCAAATCTCCTTGGCCATGCCAGGCTCTGGCAAGCATGCCTGCCTCAACCCCTGTGCCTCGTGAGCTGTGCTGTCTCGGCTGAGGGTGACAGGACGGCTGCAGGACCCGGAGCAGATGTCCCCTCTGCAGGGAACAGGGGCTACAGGAGGATGGCAGCTCCCACTCACCGCTCCAGGGCCTCCGGTCAGGCACCAGCCTAGCGCTTTGTTCAGTAAATGCTTCCATTCCCACAAGGCCCCTGGGAAGGAGGACCCCGCCCACCCCACTTCTCTTTCTGCAGATGAAGAGCCCGATGTTCAGGGAGGTACAGCGATGTGCCTGAGGGCGAGAGCGGGCAACCACATTTGAGCAGAGGTCCGTGAGAACTGCCGGGCGGAGGCAGCCAGGACAGGGCAGCAGCTAAGACAGACAGACAGACAGGCTCCAGGCTGCCTGCCTGCGGGTTTGAGGAGAGAACATCACTCCAGCTCCTGGGGGGAAGGCTAGGGAGCTGAGCAAGCCCACGGCCTGGAGGAGTGTGCTGAGCCTGTTCACGGGGCTGCCGAGAGGGACCATGTCCCTGGAACGGCCCGTCGTGGCAGCCTCGTGGGACAACACTGCCCCCAACCCAGCCACCCTCAAAGCCGTGGGTGCCTGGGTGCTCCGAGTCCCCTGCCTCCTCTCAACTGGCCTACCTTGCCCCCAGCTCCCTGAAGCTCTGTGCCTTCTGGACATTGGCCTCCAGATTCTGACTTACCTTGCACTTATCCCCGGGAAGCCTGTCAGGCACTTGTCCTGGTCCCCACCCAGGCCTGTAAGCCCCGTCACAGCTCTGTTGCCCTCTTTGGCTGTGTCCCTCTCTGTCCCCACTCTATGCCCAGCACAGGACTTGCTGGCACACAGTGACACTTGACAGAAGTTGGATGCACTCAGGTCACTGGAAGTTTAAAGACCACACCGATAACTTCCTTGCTCCTTCTCTTCATGCAGATACGTGTCATCGCCCTGGGAGCCCCCCTCACCCTGGGCCAGGAGGACACAGGTGAGCTAGAACGGAAAGAGGTGAGGGCACACTCACATGGCCTTGAACTTGAACAAAGAACTTGAGCTAAGAGCAGCCTGCACAGGAGGGAAAAGTGGAGAGAAAAGAACAATTCATTTGCTTGCTCCTGGTTCTCCCCTCCAGCAGCGGTGGCCAAGCAGTGTCAGGGCTCCAGGCCGGCTCTGCTGTGCAACCTTGGGCAAGCCATCACCCTCTCTGGTGACCTCTGAGGGGGGAAGGCAGGAGCCTGGGCAGCTGGGAGGAGGCCCGGCTGGCAGGGGCATGAGGTGGGCTGCGGAAGGAGACGCTGATTCAGGGGATGGAGCAGTGGCGGCGGCCGGGGAGCCGAGGTGTTTGCACAGCTGCAAGTCCTTAGTGGGGATTTCCCCCTTTTCAACAAATCCCCGTAAAACAGCGTTTTGTCCAAGTCAGCGTTTTGTGGCAGCCTGGGCCTCCTCCTGGGGCGGCCAAGGAAGCTGGCTGGGAGCACAGAGAGCTCCAGGGTCTTTCAGACCCATTCGGGGTAGGGGGAGGACAGGGCACCGGCAGCAAGAAGTGCCACCAATAGAGACCCCTCTCCTCCTGAATGGGGGTGGAGGGAGGGGCAGAGCCATTAGCTAACAGTGACCCCTCCCTGTCCGCGCTGGCTCTCCAAGGGTCCTGTCCCAGGGGTGACCAACAGAGCCCCCCATCCGATGGAATGTAGAGGCCTGCCTGCTCCTCGTCCTCCATTTCACAGACGACCTACCAGAGGTCCAGATGGAATGGGGGCTGGGGTGAGGGAGAAGGCTCCCGGGAACCATGCAGGGGGTAGCCAGTGTGGCCCTGGTGGCCCCCTTCCTGGGCTGTGGGGTGGACAGAACGCAGTCCTGCACAGCTCTGCACATCGCAGCCGGGCTGGGGGAACGTGGGGAGCCACAGCAGCCCCGGGGCCGCCAAACCACAGGTATGTTGTGAGACACTTCCTGTTGTGGAGACATTTCTGCGGGATCGGGATCGCCGGCCCCACTTGCTCTCCTGGTGCCTCCGGTCTCCCCACCAGCCCAGCCTCCTTCTCTGTTGTCTCCCTGGGTGTCTGGCCCTGACTCATTTCTCCCGGTCTCTGTCTCTCTCTCCAGCCTTGTCCCTGCCACCTCAACA